TTGCGTTGCTTGGCAACCTGGCTTGATCAAACACAGCTCCCCTCCCCCAATTTTAAGCTCATAATTCTTCATCTATATTCAAGCACCAGTTCTTAATTAGATTAAGATGCATAACCCCCACTGCAAGCAAATTCACACAGACGTACGGCACCAATACACAAAACTGTTAGACAAAGAACAAACACTCAACTATGAAAAACATAGGATTTTGTAAAAAATAAAATATATTAAAGGAAAACATTTTAAATTAATAGAAAAAAAACCGATGATTTCCCCCTTACACGCCCCCCCCCCTTCTTAATTTAATGGCCAAAACACTTTGTATCATGCACTTGACTGGACTAGACCAGATGAATATTCTTTTCAATTTCAGTTTCAAATAAACACTCGGCCATTTCTAAATTAAATGATAGCAAATATGACATAGTTAAACATTTCTAAATTAATCCGATGAAGGTCCTCAATTGTGGGCAACACCATATGTCCTGTGGGATGTGTGCATGATCAAATAAACCAAAACACTGCAGTGTTAAACAAATCATCTATGCAAGAACAAACAAACAAAGATAATATTAAACAGGTCAAACATTACTGTCCCCCAAGAGCTCTTAATCCAAATATCTTATTTATTATGACAAAATATGTCCTATTTGGAAATATCATACAGTATGGGTTTAGATTTTCAGATGAATAAAGCCTTAACATCTTTCCGCCCCCCCTATATTTTCCATCAAGGCTTAGGTAGTCAGAATATAGACACACACACACACACACACACACACACACACACACACACACACACGCACAAATATATACATCTGTGTGCATATATTCTGACTACCTAAGCTTTGATGGAAAATATAGGGTGGGCGGAAAGATGTTAAGGTTTTATTTAGCTGGAAATATTTGCGTGTGTGTGTCTGTGTGTGTGTGTATAAGTGTGTGTGCGTTTGTGTGTGTGTGTATAAATGTTTCTTTTTCCTCCTTTGTATATCTTTTATTTTTCCACTCTCCTATAATTTAAATATCAGCAGCAATTTACAAAGAGGCATGAAACATTTGATTTTTCTAAATAAAACACACTGAGTGGAGGAAAAAAATACAAATCAGATGCACTTTTGCACTGCTCACTTTGGCTTCAAGGCAAAGTTGAAATGGGTCATCAAATTTCACCCTGTTCTCAGAGGTGTGGCTGAGGAGGATGGAGCAGCGTGCGTGTGTGTAGCACACCAAGGACGGCAGGATTTGCTGCGAAGACCACGCTCGTCTTCCTCTCCCTTGAGCTATGGCATTGATTGAACACTGAAATGAGTTGAGATGTCACAAATCTATACCAATATGCAGGGAATGAAAATTGGCCTTGGGGATTTCAAGGTTCCCATTAAGAGTGTGCTTAACACATTCTGTTAAATGTGTTTGGAGAGCATAAAAAAAGATAGATTATGTGCCTCAATGTAGTAAAGCAAAAAGTCCTCAGAAATTCCCCGATGTTGAGTGAAGGCTCAACAGGAGTGAGAGGCTCAGATTAATTGCAAAAATACTGCTAAAACGGGAGAAATGACCACAAGGCTAGGGCCATAAAAATGTTTCTGATTTCTCGAATTTTCATGCTGATTTACAAAAAGAACAAAATTATCTAAATTTCTGGTTCAAGTATGAATAGAAATCTGTCTTAAAAAATCATTTAGTAAATCACAGTATATTTGGAAACTTTATCTCCAATTAGAGTATCCAATCCTCTACAGTGTCTTGCTTCATGAAAGGTAATTTCCTCTGTATCAGCATCTCATTTCAGACTGGCAATCCCCTTCTTGCTCTGAATTCTCCGATTCAATACAACCACACTTATTCCTACTCATCCCTGTTCTCTCAGGTAGCTGAATTTTCAGGAAACAGAAAAATTACTATTCTGGCTGCTTAGTATTCACATCACGCAAAGTGGGTCTGTGTTCCTCATTTAGTTCTGTACTGTACAGCTGGGGAGCTGTCCAGCATGCAGCGGCAGTATGCAAATGAGTTTGGATTTGAATGGAGATGGAGGGACACACAAAGCTCAATTAGAGACACAGGGAGAAAGAGACAGTGGGGGAGCACTGAGTGTCTGGATGGGGAGGGGGGAGGGGGAAAAAAAACAAACCTTGCCTAGCTGTTTAATGCCAACCTGAGCAAAACCAGTGTACGGACACAATGAAACACAAAGCCGCACGCAGACGTGAATGTGCTTAAATAGCCAGATGGGTTTCTAAATTCTTCTGAGGGCTCAGACAGCTCAGCTCTACGTAGAGAGAATATCCTGTATCATCCCTATCACACATATCACCAGGAACAAGAAGGTGCCAGGTTAGCACAGGTGTGCTTCCAGTTTTGTTTGGGGCTTAGATAGAAGCAGGCAGCAAAATGTGAGGAAAATAAATGAATGTGCGGGGAAGGTTGGCCGCCATTTTGTTCTTGGGCTTTTAGTTGATGCCCAGCAGCGGTGCATATCACCTGACCCAGTGCCTGCATGACTGTCCTTGGAGGAGTCTGACATCAACACTGCCATCACTGGCTGTCATAGCAACCGTCATAGCCCTCCACCTCCCCCTTACAGAGAGGTGGAGGGCAGAAAATTAATATGCACATGGAGGAAATCATCATTTAATCGCTGGTGTGTGCAGGTGAACTGGGTGGCACAGGGGAAAGATTACAAAGAAATCATCTCCATGACCACAGTTTTAGCCAAACTATTTAAGAAAGTCACTTTTTAAATGGATTTTGGGAGGCATTTTCCACCTTCTCTGCATCCCGTCCAACATTGCGGCCATCTTCACATAACCTTTACAAAGCTCCCCACAGCCAAGGCAGTGCCTGAGTTTAATGTTCATATCCGATTGTTGCTATACGACTATGTGGAGGAAGGTTTTCAATATGCAGCTGGAGTATGGCGGGCAGGAGTGCAGACTTAGCTCTGAGGAACGAGGTTAACTTGATCAGGGAGGCTCAGAAATCATTGTGTTGATCTAGCAATGCCACACAATCGCCCATGTTAGATTTCCCATAATACACCACCTGTCAGATTATATAGGAACAACCTTTACTCATAGCAACACACATACCTAACCGGAAATTCTGTCAGTTCTGAACCGCTCTTTGCAACTACACACACACACACACACATACATACATGATGCCACATAATCAACCAAATTTCCCTTTGGGGATGAATAAAGTAATCTATCTATCTATCTATCTATCTATCTATCTATCTATCTATCTATC